GGAAACCACACGATAGATTTTCTCAAAACTTCAGGATTTTCTATCTTGAGATAATGCCTCGCAGCTGAGTAAATTTTAAAAAATTAAATCAAGCCGCTTCAAAATCTTACTGCCGCTAATTTAATTGCAGCGACAAATCCTGAGAAGGAGCGTGGGCTCATTTTTGACGAACAGCGGCACTACTACCCTGCTTCCTGGCCATGAATGTAGCAATATACTCTCTGTGCGAATTCGTGGATGTTTCACCAGAGCCTTCATCTGGAAGCGGAGTGTCCACTTATAATGCGAAGCACGATGAAATCTGCGATCTTGAGAAAACGATAATGGGATTAGCAGTAACAAAGAAAGAAAGGGAAAGTCTGGTTGGGTTTTGGTAAGGATATAACCCTAATTTATTTCACATGCCTTCTAATACTGTTGTTGTCCTTTTTTTTTTCTTTTCGATTACGTGGAATTTCATAACGGTTTTTGATGAAGTAATTTATTTAAGAGTCATTACCAACACACTTTGTCCGACACGACTTAAACAACATTGGCTCAGGCTGCATAATATTACAGCCCGAAACTTCATTATACATTTCTTGGATAAAAAAAACAATGGTGGAGAAAAGAAAAGATTGCCTTTGAGACTATATGCCTTTGTTTTATAAAAGTATTAAATTGTGCAGAAATCTTATCTTTATTTGTACTTTTATTTGATATTCATTTAATATTTTTCAATGACAAACTTTATTATATATTCAGTTTGATTGGTTCCAAGCCCTATAATCTATTATAGGACAGATGCAGAGGTGACATTACCATTAACAATTAATATCTTGCTTTATATCATATAAAACTAACAGATTCCATGTTGCTGTGGGTCTGTTTATTAACAGATCACAGAAAATGTCAAAATGTGGTAAAAACATCATGTGACATGCTCTTCTGTGCTTTGTTTGACACTATTTTGTTCTTACCACATTTTGAATTTGTCTACGGTAGAGTATGATAGAACAGACACAAGGTAGCATGGAATCTGTTTGTTTAGTTATTCATTCACTTATTGTTTATCTGGCCCTGGATGTTCAAGGATGGATAATGCTATCCACCGGATAAGTAAGTACAGTTGTATTAAAATGAGAAACCGGCAAACAACTCTGAATTTCAAACTTAAACCTCCTACACAGTACTAGAATAATGATGATAGTTTTGTTAAATGCACTAACTTAATGTCACCCTACAAGTATCTTTGAATGTATCCTTACAAGTTTCATGTACTTTCAACCTGTATGAATGCATACTCATGCACACTTGAAACCACTCAAAAAAGTTTGTGTTAACTTTGTTTTCTGTGATAGAAAAGTAAAAAAACTACTAATAATGATATATCAATTTGGTAACACTTACTTTTACTCTTGAATTTTATTTCCAGACTAAAATTTTACCCAGTGTCATTATCAAGTTAACCTTACCATTTTATTGGAAAATATGTATTTCAGGTAAGGAAAAAGTTAGGTTTATAGTACAGAAAGAGGAGAAATCTGAAAAGAGAGAAAGAAAGCAATTATTTGTTTTCTGGGTAATGCTTAGAAATTAGAGGGAGATTTTCTATGCTCATTACTTCTAGGAGTTAACCCTTTAACTCCCATGAGTGACCAAGACAGAATTTCTTCTTACAATATCAATACAATATCAACCAGATAAGTGATGAGAATGAAGAAAAATATCAATTTGGGGATAATTAGTTGATCCAATACTAAATTCTCTGAACTAACATTGTAAGAATTGTATGCTTGATAGTAAGGAGAATTGCAAATGTGATCTGGGAATCAAAGGTTTAATGGGTTAACTCTTCACACCCTAACATCAGTATGCATATTCTCCATACTGTTCTCCAAGCAATACGCTGTGGAAGTAAGGTTAGGTATTTTTTTTGAGAATTTGACACATTTTTTTATTCCTTAGAGCAGTCGTAAATATTCCCATACAAACTCGTATAATTCCGCCATGACTGTTATTGCGCAAGATGATTATCTTGCAGCTGGAGCCTGGGCCGTGTATGGATGTACTGAGTACATTTTGCTAGGAACATTAATTGAAAAGTTGAAGACTGTCTGTGACAATTTTTAACGAATTATCAGTTCATTTGCATATTTGTTTGCAGTACATGGGATGACAATATGTGTTTTGTTTGCCTGTGCAACTTCTTGAATTCAGTGGGCCTCCAATTCATGAAAACATTCTTATAACACTATTATCTTTACTTTAATTTTAAAACTTGATGCATATATTTGAACCTTTTAATGTGGTATTTGCAAGTGTAAGTTCTGGAGAAATCATGCTACTAAGCTATTTATCTCATTTTGACAAGAGGGTACTTTTAACCTCTACTAAGACAGCCTTCATAGGCAAACACCCACAGGGAACAAAATTTTTGCAATAACAACAACATCAACAAGATTTTTCTACAATGCTAGTAGCACAGTAGCTTATACATACACCTTTTAACCCCTGAGAGTGACTAGTACCTAATTTCTCCTTACAATATCACCCCTGCATCAAACATCAAGGTCCTGAGAGTAAAGAAAATGATCACCGACTAAAGAAGCTATTGATTGTGAAACATATTTGTTTTCGTCAGTACCTTAGAAAGAGAACAGTATGGAGAATATGCATACTGATGTTAGGGTATAAAGGGTATCCAGTGTATTACATTTGAACACCCTAAAATAAATAGTGAAGTAAACTACTTGGGTACCCTTCAATTCACATTGAAAATAAGTATAATGTTAGAAAAAAGACTAAATACTGACTTAATTGCTAGTTTCCATACCCCATACATGGAGCTGACCATTAGAAATCAGATATATTGATATATAACTTGACCGAAAGGACACTCCGTTTGCCCTACCCTGTTGAATGTATCTGATCACAACGAAAAGTAATTGAGTTTTGTTTTGCCAAGGACTTCTGGCTAAATTTAGCAAGAGGTCGTGCGCATTACTGACATGCCTTTTCCACTGGGCATGCAGCCCGAGCAAAGTCAGGGCAGATTGTTGTAAAGCGCATTAGATCATATTCTCACGGAAAGGCGTTATACAAATCCATCATTTTCATCATTATCACTCTATGGCTTTATATGCCAGAGGGTAGGGAGCACCCATCACTTACTCTCAATAGATTGAAAATCTTGGAAAATGATCAGCTCACTGATAGTTGCCATACTTTCTTGTAAAATACCATGTTGAGGTATGCTATATTCAAGGCTCACAAGATGGTTTTGCGATAGAATTTGTGCAGGTCCTGTAAGGGCTTACAAAGTTCTTAAGAAGCAGTGTTTGCCAGTTGCTTTCAGGAGGGTGTCATTTCGGGTTGTCTTTGATATCACTTCCGATCGCTGTTTGAATTCAAAACTGATTCTGACGGATCTCAAACGGTTTGTTAGCCTGAAAATACAATCAAACAGGCCGTTGAGTTAGTCACATCGACTTGGAGTTAACCGCCGATGCGTTTGGTTTCGAGTTGCATCGCAATGCGATACTGAGGCTGACAAAGTTTTACTCCCTTACCCATGTCCTACCGAGAATTCTGAAAGGGTGTGGCCAGTATGGCTAACAACTGCGGCATAGCATTGGCTGGGGCTACTGCTCTGCCTGCTCACCATGCTTTGCGCACATACTTGAGAAACAAGACTGGAAGTTAATGGTTCTTTGGTGCCTGAGTCAATGGATGCCTTTTTTAGCTTTTATCGATGAATGATGGAACTGCCAGTTAAGCCAATCATATTTGAATGCGTTCTAGTTGGAAAAGAGAGATGTCTGACCCACTAAGATGTCTTTAATTCATCCAAATAAATTTAGGTCGCCGATTTTGAATAACTGAATTAATGATTGAATACTAGAATTGGCTTCCGATTTTAATAATGTATTTTTTATAAATTTCAGATGTGTTATTTTACTTACTACGTTTGTTTGTGTTTTGTTATACTGTCTGTCTCGATAGTGCTAAAGATATATGTTGTTTAAAGGGGGTAAGTTTCTAAAGAAACTGTAGTGCTGCGTCGGTGGGAGAGTATAGCAGGTAATTTTTGGTGTTGACAACTGAGTTGAAAACGTAAATTGGCCACCGTAAAGGGTAAAAAAAGCTGACGTTTCGAGCGTTAGCCCTTCGTCAGAGCGATAGATGTTGTTTACTGTGCAAGAGATCCGTAGGGAAAAAGAACTTTACCTAAGTTTAGGGGCTGAGACTATTCCTATACGAACCAACCTACAGTGTTTTTTCTGCTGGTGCGCAAGTGGCGCAGAAAAATTCCTGGAACGTGGTCAGTAGTGTGGACTGCTTACGAACGCGCGATTAGCCAATCAGATCTAGGGATTTAAGATTCTGGCCCGCCGAGATGCTTCAGAAAAAAAAATCTATTTTTGCCTTTCCCGTCACTGATATGATGAATTTTGTAGCTTAGCCTTGAGAGTTTTGAATTTGCATTAAGTGTTTACCCTTCTTTTTTTTTTTTTCGGGGTCAACATGTCGTGGTAGTCGAACATCAGCCTTTAGGTGTCATACCCCGACGATTCTCATAAGTAATGCATCTTTTGTAAAGGTAGATAGAAACATACTAGTCACCTTTGAATCTCTGATAGTGTCAGAAAACAACGGTTATAGCTAGAAATAATCATTTTGTGATTATAAACAATCGCTGTGCCATTGAAAATGAGACCAACTTTTATCTTTTTGCTCCCCTATGGAAGTTTTACACGTCAGTGGGCAATAATTTTTCGTTTGCAGTTGTTTGGTGTTGGCACACTGCCAATGAAAAATCTCGAACTGTACTCAGCGTCATAAACATTTTGACCATGCGCAAATTGTTGAGTTGATCTAATTCCTTGGAAAACGCCTCTTCAAGCTCGTCAAGAATTGGTTATCGTTAGACAGTTATTGTAGAGCGTTTTTATTTCCCTTTTTGTCTTCGTTTTAATTTCTTCCTTCCCGTAGGACCTAATCAAGAAGTGAGGCCATAATTGAAGACCACCGAAATGTCTTTAATATGTTTTATTCATTATAAAAATTGCTACAATAGTTCGAGAGCGTGATTTTCGAAATAATAATGCTTACGTTTAACATTTCTTGAAACGCGGCTATTCAGAGCAGCCACTGTCGGATCCTTATTTCTCGAAGATTTATGTGAATTGTTTGAAATCGCTTTGTACAAATGAAATGAAATTTAAATGCTACATCTTACATTATCATTACATCGCTTTTTTTCTGTGGTAATTTCACTCTTCCTCTTCTTTTGTTTCTCTATTTTGAAAAAATAAATATTTAGTCTCTTGATATTTGACCGTTCCAAAGAATCGTCAACTTTGACTTGCCTTTTACCAAGAGATTATGCCTTTTTTTATTTCCTTATTAGAAACTTTTTGCATGTTGCGATTGATATTGCTCATCATCGCCTCCTCTGGATTTTTTTTTCTTAAATACATGTTTTGCCGCCGGAATAATTGCAGTCCCTATGGAAGAAGAGTTGAGAACTTAAGTAGCAGCCTACACCTGAAGTCTTTGTATTCCGGTCAAAACATACTTTTTGTCGAATTTCGTCATCATACCAATTGTATTCGATTTTTTTAACTGTTATCTAACCTCGTCTACAACTCTCTGTTAACAGTAGTCAAATTCGCTGAAAATGGATACAACATGGTTGAGGTTGAGCACAATTGGAGTCACGAGCCAAGCGATTTGCTTTGGCCGTAGTAAAATAACTGATCTCCATTGGGCGAAGCACTCAAAGCTTCATTTGTTAGAGTATTCGCTGAATTCGTTCAAAACACTCTGTGAATGTTACCCAGCCAGTTGTCAGTGACATAAACCAACTCTGCCAGGATGTAAGTTCAACGGGCTTATAGTCGATTTTAAGTTTTCCATTTTTCATGCGCATTAGTTTTTACGCTCCTCATTTCCATCATGTGCTCACGGTCAGTTTCCCTCGGCTGTTGTATTATCATGGCAGCTGCTAGTCGTTCACACCTACTCAATCTCCTTCACTCAAACTTTTCTTAGTATTTCCTACTCCACAAGGCTTTCTTGTTATTTCTTACTGGTTTCTTCTATCCATGTCGTGCACTGTGGCTTTAATTTCCCAGTGTATTTTTTGTTTGTTTCATAAGCTAACAGGAGTATTCAAAAGTTTTCCATCTGCTTTCTTTTGTAAGATCTGTGGTTTCGGCCGACCACGTTTACGATTTCCGCAAGCCGTCATTTCACACATGGCTGTCACTGGCTTCTCGGTGCCTTTGCTTTTAGCACGATCATTCATGGCTCCTTCCCTACTTTAGCGGCACTACCGTAAAGTCCACAGATTTTTGTATCATGGCTGTGTTAGCGCCATGCTTAAGCTTTCCGTTTTTCTTGATAGCGATGTAGAATTCTTGGGTTATGTTTCCAGGGTTCCTCCCGCTGTACTTGTAAGAAGCGTAAGTGTTGAAATAGTTCGTTCCTAACTTCTCTTTAAACAGGCATTCGTCTGTTGGTTGAGCCTGAAAAGGTGAACAAAGAAACCTTATCCTCGGGTAAATCGAGTCAACAATCCAGCTAATTAGATATCTAACCAACCATTGATGCACAGTGTTAGACTGTCAGTTAGTCTAGTCTTACATTCATCTTCTCTGCCAGCTCACCTGTCTGTCACGCGGCCATTAACTCCGTGTTCTGATCAGTCAGTCAGTCGGCGTGAAAACCTGCCAATCTATAGTTTTCTCAGGTAGCTCAAACCGTCGGTCAATCGATCTGTCAGTTTGTTAGTCAGTGAAGCGGCGAAAGAGCTTTTAAAGAAATCATCCCACTCAATTGGCAAGCTAGCAAAGGGAGTCTCTTAGTTAATTAATCAGCACAGAACGAAAGCCTTTAAGCCATTGAAGCGGTTAGACCGTCTGTCAATTCAATTGGTCTTTCAGCTCTGAAGACATTTTGTGAAATGTTTGTTTAGTGTTAATCGGGTGCGCAATCCAGGCCAACACAAGTTAAACCAATAACCAAAAAGAAAGGATCAACCAATCGGTTGATCGTCCCGGTATGTTCTCATTCAAGATTGGGGTTTCAAAAGTTAAAAAAAAATTATACCTTGAAACTATAAGCTAAAGGAAAAAAATAGACTGGTTACGGCGCCAGAACCTGCCTTTTTATTCTTCGAATTTCGATTTTAAAATTTGGCTTCGGGACTTTCGAGAAACGGGTCCCTGGTCTCCAAGGTCCACCCACGCAATAAAACCGAAAGTGTTAAAAATCTTTAATTACACTTACCATGATGTGACAAATCCCCTCATCATTCATACAGAGGTATGTCTTAGACACCACGCCTTTGAGTCGAACGATACTTGGACCCATCGACTCCATTACAATTAGTGCTGAAATTGAACGGAAATGAAATATAAGATAAAGACGAGCATACACTGCATAACTCAATCGAGTACTTTCTAAATTTAAAGAACTGCTATCGAGAAATCCAAATAAGGTAACTATTTACTAAAGGATTCAGAATAACTCTCTAAAAATTTGATGCAATATAAAGGATTAAATATGGCTTTGCATTTGATCCCCTCAACTTTACCTGAGCGACTATTTGAAGGGTGTTACAGAACGCCCACGCGACAATGACATAGCGCTCCTTTACCAAAAACAAACCCTGTTGGTCGAAGCTAGAAGGTTAATAGCTCGCTGAGGCAGAGCTGAAAGCTCTAATATTGGGCTCTATTTTCGATCATGAGAAGACCCCCTAAATGGAATCCTAAGCACAGGTGTAACTTAAAATAAATGGTAATGAGGGTCAATGTCGCGTTGTCTGTCTGACATAAAAGGGCTATGTAAGGCACACTTTAAGCTATGACTGATGACTTATCATTTGCATCGGCTTTAAGCACTCCTCGACATTCCAAAGTCACGACACAATTGGTCGCGTGGAGCCTCAATGGAATCCCTCGCCGTTGGAGTGATTCTAACGAGGTTGTTAAACCTTGTTTGTATCTTTCAAAAAACACTTTCGTGACCGATCGCGTTCAAAGGGGCGGCTACTACTTCTGATTTTCACATACAACCAACCCCCTACCGAAGCTAAGCGGAAGTGGCCATTTCAAGTAGCACAAAGAAGACATGACGCATTTGGTATTGTGCCTCCTCTTACCAAATGGTTTACAAATACAATTAATAAGTTATAAATGCTTGAACGCCCCTTGCGGGAATCAAAGTGAACACTTCTATTTTTTGATTGATCCCATTTCGTTCTGTCTCTAATGACAAAAAAGTGCAGTTTCCAGCCAGGTTTATTCCAAAAATGTCATTGTAAGACACGCTCTCTTGTATCCTTTTTTTTCTGCTCTCGCAACCGTGAAACTGTCATCCGCTACATAAATAGAAGATAGCGTGTTTAAGACGTTTCTTTGGTTTTTAAGCAAAGTACCTTCTTATCTCGAAACAAAGAATCAATATTGGCCATCAAAACACACCGTTTTACAAAAGATCAGTGAGGCTTAGTTCAAGAGCCTAAACTCTAACATTTTCTATACCTCGCTATTTCAAAGGTAGGACCTTTGAAAGGTTTTAGTAGTTAACTAACGTTGCCTTTAGCTAAAGTTACCACCCAGTGTTAAAACGTTCAGAAGGTAAAACCGTGTTGGTTAGCCTCGTGTATCTCACTGAATACATGAATCTTTTGAGACGTTTTAACTGCCCTTCTAACAATGCATTCACGCGGCCCAATGTTCTGTTATGTGTTGACAACCAGGGGTCAGTAAATTTACCGCCCTCTTAATTTACTTGAAACATTGCGAAAGTGGAAAGCTAGAGACATGTTAATTGATTTTGCGATAATTTAAGCACCTGAATACCTATTTGGAAAGTTGTGTTTGAGAGGTTGTTCTGTGTATACCTCCCAGTGAAAGCTATTATTATTTCCTCTCTTAAGTGAAAAGCTTAAGATAGAAACCACTTATCGCGAAAATGCGAATTTGGAAGCCTGAGGCAAAAGTAATGGTAAATATTTCGAAGACCCCAACTATAATTTTCTTCTGTAGAGTAGAAACAAAGTGTTCATAGCTCCTAGAGTATCAGTTCTGCTAAATCTAAAAATCAAGTGCTACTCTTTACGGCGTTTGAATTTGGTAACCTGACAGAGAAATAAAGAAATGACTTCAAGGCTCTCTATTTAAATCTCTTGTGAAGAGAATTTACACAAATTGGCTAATTGCACCAATCAAGAAGTACAAACCCCCCCTCCGCCTGACGTCGTTTTTTCAACGGTAGGGTATAAAATATACCTTCCTTTTACATGAGGAAGTCGCATGGTAACATATAAAAGAAAAATCGATATACGGTGAGGCAATGATTTCGGTTTCAGACTAGCAACGGATTTTCTTGAAAATTGATGATGCGAAATACTAGGAACAGCAAAAACTAAAAAAAGTTCTTTAAAAAACTTTGTATAAGAATATTAAGTGACTTTGTTAACAAACTTATTGTCTGGAATATCATCAACAGTTATCGACGACTTGCTTCTTACAAAGAGCATCTTTTTTTCTTCTAATTCTCCATTTCTTGTTTTGCCTAAATTCAAACGATGACTGCGCTTGCATAACAAATTGTAAGGTTGTGCAAGTACCAAGGATAGCAAAACACGTACATTAGCGCCTCGAGTAGACAAATTCGCTGCGTATTCCAATTATGAAGACGATATTCGCTGCCAAAGTGATTTTCTGGAGTATATTAATCCATCTGTTGATATTGAACCATATATTAAAGTTTCTATAATTTGAAAAGGGTCTAAACAACAGTGAAGAATATATTTTATGACTCTTTATGCAAAGCATCAATGATTCTCACTATAAAACGTAGTTTTGTTTGAGATCTTTGTTTGATGTGAAACATCTAATTGTGTGGGAATGTGACTTATCTTTGAATAGAGCTGATCATGTTTGTTTTTTTTTGGGTCTTCCCTCAGTTTTTATCGTGTTTGCCGTAGTTTTTTTGCTCTTGAATTAATTAGCTCAGATATTACTCCGGAATTCGAATGTCAACAATTTTGTACCCCTGCTGTCGCTGACTGCTCGGAATTGATCACCACTCTAAAAATAGCTAAGCTCATTTGAGCCAACAAGCTATGAGGTGGGTAAACGAAATTGTAATTGTCACGACGTATATCAGTAATTTTGATACGAGGCCTCGTGTGACTACCACGCAATTATGGAAAGCTAACATGCCACAACGGTGTTATATTTGAAAATACAACCCCTGATAGCATATTGTTAATTCAAACCTCGTTTTCAACTAATGGTTGATATCGGTAAAGTAAAGATCAGGGTGTGATTTACAAGCCAAATGGCTCTACAGTTAAAAAAAAATACTATAATTGTTTGATTTTCTGTCATAGGAACAAAGCTTAATGGATAAAAAGAAACACTTTAGTTCTTGCAGTTGAACTGTGTGTATCGGATTGGTATTATTTTTGATCTCTCTCTAGCTAAATCGCCGGGCTGTGGACGTTTGGCGCGACGAAACTATCACGAGTCGCCCTCTTGACCAAGGACCTGCCCTAAAGATGTGCGATAAAGTAAAACTGTGGTTTCTTTTGATTGCGCTTTTCAAAATCCCATCCGCAACTACTTCATAGGCTAAACCATAGCGTGAATTGACGCTTTTCCGGAGAAAAACCCATTTCGAGAGTTCGTTTATTAAAAATATCGAATGCTTTGATTGTGTATTTCAATGCGCACTTCCTCTCTCTCAGGCATATTTCAGGCGCGCCATTTGTTTTTTTTTTTTTTGTTTGTTTTTTTCGCTAAACCACTAACGTTGCGATGTTGGTGTTTTACTTTCCCCCTATCGCGGGAGGTACACTTTCTCGTTTGTTAAGAGAACGCCCACAAATCCCACGACCTCCGGAAATGAGTTAACAAATAAAACTGCTGTGTTTGTTTGATGACGCTGCTGATGCAATAAAAGGGCTGACTTTGCGTTTGATTTTTCGCGGAAGCGAAATAGTCAACTCTTCTGGCACCATTGTAGTTTTTTTCCAACCGTTTCGGTCACTGCTTTTCAGATATGCTATTTCTGCTTCGATTGTAAGCGTCAGACATCAATTTCACAGACAATTAGTGCAAATTACTCACAGTTTAGGTAGTGGTTTAATTAACGAATGTGTTTTACGTTAACTGCGGTTTAATTTGTTTCTCTTTAAATAAACGAAACGATAAATGTTATTTTTCTCCATTTCAAAGCCTATAAGATGTGCGTTTAACCCCCTTAGACGACTTTTCAATTTGACAGTCGAGTAACTCGGACTCCATGATCGTTTACTTCGCCGAGGCTGCGTATTCAAGCCGTGATTTATGGCGTTGCTATGTGCTTGCTAACAAGATTACAAGTTTTTCCTCTAGATTTGCCGCCGCCTTGTTTCGCTCGGTTATACACCCCTTCATCATTTATCCTTTAAATCTTAGTCTCTGTATGATATAACATCTTGAACGATAGCATGAAGACTTCGATGGTTATCAACGCAATACGTTCTTGAAATTGGTTTTTATAAAGTTTCAGTGTCTTTTCTCGAAGCTTCGTCTATTGTCATGTTAAGTGGATTAATCTCTAAGGAAATGAGTACTCACACGATTCTTTATTATTTGTTCTTGACAAGGAAAGTAGTTTTACTTTCCGGTAGAAAATGACTTATCAACATTTTGGGGGTCGTCTACGAATTTTTTCCTCCTCTGTTGTGATATGTGGTCTTTATATTGTAGTGAGTGTTTAGGAATTTGATGACGCCAGACTTCGTTGGCGCGAGCCAAGCAAGGTGGAAAGAAGGCACAACTCAATAACTTGTTAACCGCACAATGAAAGCAAAGTTTACTCTGAACAAACCTTAACTAACTGGCACTTAGACTCGTCTGGCGATGCGGGGGTTTTGTTTGCTTCCCAGTGTTCTAGGCTTCAGAAATCGAACTGTGGTCAAAGGCAAATTTTTTGATCGTGCGTCGAGCTAATTAGCATGGAAATCGCAGAACCAAAACATTGCGAGTAATCGAACAAATAATCACACAAAGGAGCATGTCTCGCTTTGCACGATTTGCCTGAATAATGTGTACCTACTGTTTGGATTGTCGATGCTCCTTGTTCCTCGAAGTCTCCCTGTGTTAGAGATTTTCAGAAAATATCCATTTTTGTTGTAAAGTCGAACCAGTCTTGTGTTTGTTGGTACCTTGAGAATGCCCATTTTGTGCAATCTTGTGGTTTTTGGTACTAGTTCCTCTCGTTGGCTTGTTGCTGCTTGCGTCTGCTGAAAATTTTCGTCGCTAGCGTTTGCAGCTTGCTTTGACGGCAAGGCCACTGATGAACAAATAAGCAGACAAATGATGGGTGCAAACGTTACCTAGATATTACAGAAAATAGACAAGAGATTATTACGACTTGTTAATAATTTAAGCAAACTGATAAAAATCACAGAGTTACCACCCTCGCGCGAAAAGTGGTGATAGCGCTCCCAAGACCCTAAAAAGTACAGATTATATTAAAGGAATAGTGAAAGACAGAGGTCGTTATTTGGGGAATGATGCTATAAATCAATGGACGGTCAAAGTGGCCTCACGTTCTGTACTTTTTACGTCTCTTACTAAAAAACTTCTTACCATTCTCGTAACCGTCTCCATCGCGTAGTATTCCTTTTGCATTTACTCGCATTGGAAAATGTGACCGCAATTTACGCGTAGATGTCATTATTGTTTTACGACATATCTACGCTTTGGTCTTTTTACGAGAATGCTTTTATTATATTCGATCCGTCACAGGAGAGATTCAATAGCTGCGTACTCGTTTTACCGAATCCCAGACTACCGCGATATTGTTAAGGAATAATTGCTCCGGTTTGCGGTGAAAAATAATGTATTAAAAATACCGAGGTCGCAGTTGACATGTGGGCCCTTGTGACTGATCCGTTCAGCTGCCTAATACTGCGTTATTTGTGGCCAAAGTTGATACAAACGTGGAAATAGCAAACACTCGTAAAGCTAAGTGCTTGGTGATCAGATGAGTGGCATTTGTTTCGGATAACTTTTTACCGCGCCTTTTGGTAAAAGAAAGGAACGGGCCGTTTCAAATAATTGGAATTCTTTGCTCGTCTTAACTGCTCTTTTTCGGCAAACGAACAAAAGCGCCCTAAGTCACTGAGAAAACATCATAAAAGTGTATTCAGCGACTTCCGCGGCTTGAGGAGGTGTTCTTTGCACATGGGTACAAGTTACATATTGAAGAATTTTGGCACATTTCAGCTCGCGTTAATTGTGAACCTTAAGCTATTTACAGAACGATGAGCTTCGCTAGTCTAGAGTAAAATCAAGCCTTACACTTAGAGAAACAAAATGAGTGAATTACCGCTATTGATTATCGTATTTCAAATGTTTGTGCTTCGGTCAGACGAAAAGCCTCAAAAATTATCCCATCAACTCATTCGGAAGCCATACTCTTTTTGTACACAGAAAATATTTTTCGAAGTCGGCCCTGAGAAAAGAGTCCAAATGCAACTTATCTCTAACTTCCGGGCCGCAGTAATCTCATTGTTTTGAAATTTATTGACGGTAACTTATCTTAAGTTTGGGAAAGCAGCTGAAGGACGAATGTAGGTCCTTATATATTTACATATACAACGTTTATCCACCGAAATTTATAATTACCTTATCCCGAATCTGTCAACTTTTTACTAAAGTAATGATTTTCTGGTTTTTGCACATTTCCGCGGCATTTCTAGTGTACTCTTTATTGATTCAAACGTAAGAAGTCCTAGATCATAAGCTATGCATAAATTACTAAGTGTCTGTGTTCTGACGAAGCTAATTGCTCTCGAGAGACTGCTAAAAATACCATGTTGTCTCTATGACAACAACAGCGCGGTAAAGTTGGACCAAAAGTAACCAGAGGTCTAAGGAAGCGGCGCGAAAATAGCGTGTTTGCTAAAAAGATCAAAGTCTGAACAAGAGCGAAACTATTGGAGATCTTGATAAAATGACCAGCGTTGTTCTATTCCAGTTTATCATAATTAGTGAAAATCGTTCGACTCAGTTGAAACTTCAATTAAGAAGATCACTAAGTTTTTCGCATAGTTTAAGGCGAGCACCTTACAAATCATTGAATGTCTCAAATTACCTCGTGTACATAAGACTGCTTCGAGTTAATGACGGCTAAGCGCCAGCTATGCTTTTAATTTTGGCTGTAGCTTAGTTTCGTGTATGTTTTGTTGATAGGAAAGACTGCGGTTAATACCCAAACTATTCTTGGAATCTCAAGCTAAATCTAGTCAATGGTCGAAGTCAGTCTACTCTAGGCCCATTTTACGTTCTGAGACCTGGTAGGTAGGACACCGGCTGATATTTTTGGCACAGCACAATCAACTCTGAGTTGAGTACAATCGCAAGTATGACGTATTTGCCTTTTTTAAGAAGTGATTTCTATAGAGGAAAGTCGTGCATTGGTAAAACTAATTTCCCTTTCCGTGAGGTTTCGCTTGGCTTAGCCGCCCTCTTTGTCATAGGAACACTTAAAGTTCAACGCAATAATCAAGTCAGTGGTCAAATTGCGTGCAACTACACGATAATCTATCGAAGACTACAGCTTGCCTACGACTTCCTATGTGCGTATTTGAGATCTGAAATGATTCTTTTTTCGCAATTTAGGTATTACTTTGCGTTACTTTTTTTACGACTGTACTTTCATGCGATTTTTGATTGTTCGGGATTAGTAGAGGCGTGAAATGGTAGGTGCAGTGCGACCGGATGAAATCATTCATTTGCAGAGGAAAAATAGAATTGGATCTTCAGTCTTTTCAAGCTTATATTACCATAACCAGGGTTTGCGAGAAATGATCTTGGTTCAGATTAAGTTCAAAGTGGTGCTGTCGCTTTAAATCAGTGCAGTAAGCACCCGGTAAAGTGCGTTATCATTCCGATGAATAAAAACCGTTGCATCAATTTAATCACTCACCCGCTCAAGCATGGTCCAGTCAGGAGCCCTTCAGAATTTGCCTTCTTCTGTCAGCTCTGTTTTTGTTTTAGAACCCTCATCACTGAAAGAAAAACAAGCCAAGAAGACAAAAGTTGAGCCACTTTTCTCGAGAGTAATCTGATTAACTGTTAGTCGTATCAACTTAAGATAAACACAATTCAACTACGGACCTTAACTCACTTTACACTGGTGATAGATGGATGATTGATTTTGTTTTGTATTTCAAGTGCAACTTATATATATATAGAAATATACGTATATATCGTGATGACTAAGGCCGCCAGTTTTTGAAAAAAAATGCGACATTACGCAAAAGTATGTCTGCTGAAACAACAAAACCAAAGTAATTGATATAGAGAAGGATACACAGGGATGGGACGTTCGAACCATTTATCATTTGTAAATCTCGCTAATTAAGTGGCATGACATTGCTTTTAAAGGAGATTTCAAGTTGCATGCGGCAAATGCGATCCGGAAACGAACTCTTTAGCACCTCGTACAATAACATTGCTTTGTACGACCGTCTAGACTCAAAAGTTCGCCGCCAAAACAAGCGGTCTCTTTGAACGTTTTGTAACGCAAACCCCTGAATTGTGCTTCTTCCTTGGTCGTATTTTGCCTATAGTGGTGTTTGCTTTGTTTTCGATCTCAAAATGGCCGCTTCTCACGTCATTAGTTTGCTTTGTGACGGCCATATGCCGCTAGTGAACTGGTTCAGTAACGCATAGGCAAATAAACGACTATTTGATCAAAATGAGTCCTCATTTTGCTGTAGTTCAGTATGAAATGTATGTCTTATTGTCGCGAAAGATGTTGTTATTTGGTATGTTTTTAGCCCAGCAAACTTTATCTCACCCGCTATCCGGTCCCTTGCAAACCTGCGTTTGCAGGTAACAAAACATAGCAACGAAATTGCTTTCAGGCTAGTAAGAATTGCTGGTCAGGGCAGATCTG